AAAGTATGCATGTGCTTTCATAGTTAAAAAAATGTAATTAACCCAATAATTAATAAAATGAAAAATAGTGCAGGTGTTGGTACATATCAATTTATTTCCAAAGTTAAGAAAATGATTTGCCCACTATGTGGTGGTTGGTGTCATATTGACCTTTGCACCCTAACACCCATTTTGGATCATAGCAAATGTTGGGCATTCCGTAAGAGTTTTTTCAACTGGAAATGTATCTGTACTTGTTAATCCAAGTGATATCACCCCTTTTAAACTGAAACTGGGGAAAACGTTAAGAAAATGCTCTTTACAATTTTCAAATAGCAACTACCTATGCAAAAACATTTTACTAAGTAAATAATGAATGGCAAGCTCATGAGGAACTTATAGGTTTTCAATATTTGTCCAATAGAATTTGGTTCTCCATAACATGCATTCTGTATCTAATTTAAATACTTCAACTCTACAATGTAATTGACAATTAAATTCAATGAAGAACAATGCCACAAAATTCATTAGCCTTAAATTACTAATAAACCATGATTGTATTAGATTAAAATATTCTATATTGACATGTCTTTTAGTTGGCCTATTATCAATACATAATATTGTAACACATTGATGCCCAATGAGTGCTTTGGTTAGGGTCCTATACAGTCAAAATAAAAATGGCAGAGGAGCTAGCCCAGGTGGGAATAGGTATTTGATGTATTTCTGCTACCAACCACCAAATCCCTTAGGAATGGCCTGCAACCTCAGGTTCGGTGGTGGTGAACTGAGAGCAGGACTAGTTATCACCAACTACTGGCCATGGCTCCCACTCTTCCTAAGGAAAAGGACCACACACACCTAGCAGAAGCACAGGGAGAGAAGCAAGCTTATTTCACATTCACTTGTTTGGGGCAACAAGAAGGCAGTTTGGGTAAGAAAGACAGTGACCACAGGTACCCCAAGATTGCTAAGGTTGGTTTGTATGTGGTCTGACCGAGCATGTGCCTTTCTCCTCCCAAAACCAAGGGAAGGGTCAGGAGACATGATTCCCTTGGGACCTTCTCTTGTCTTCAGAGTGAGCAAGTTCTCCTGGTTGGGAATGACAATGGGGACTCCAAGTGGAGAACTAGCCAAGATGTCTGTGAAAGGGTTGTAACAGGCTAAATTTCACCCTTCTTTTTACACATGTGAACTCAGTCTTGGGTACTCTCAAACACTCCTGGGACATGGAAGCCAGCCTTCCCTAAAGGGCTCTGAGGAAAACAAAAGAAAGATGACTACCTCTACATATATATCTTTTTCAAAATTATAATCTATTGGCCTTATAATGGTCATTATGCAAAAGTCATTCACAGGTCAACAGAGTCTGTTTCTTTTATTAGTTAGTTCTCCATTCATCCCCAAAATCAATAGAGAACCCTCAAAAGTCCAAGAGCTACTCTTAAATAGAAGAGTGACCTGAGCACTTAAAAAAAAGAAAAAGTTCATCTTCCCCAACTCATTCTACGAAACCAGCATCACCTTGATATCAAAGCCAGGAAAGGACACACACAGAAAACAAAACTACAGACCAATATCCTTTATAAATATACAAGCAAAAATCCTCAATAAATTACTAGCAAATTGAATCCAACAACACATCAAAAAAATAATCCACCAGGACAAAGTGGGCTTCATCTCAGGGATGCAAGGATGTTGATTTTACATATGTTGATTTTTAATAAATCAATAAATGTGATTCACCACATAAACAGAAGCAAAAAATAAAAGACTTGATGATCATCTCTAGAGATGCAGAAAAAGCATTAGACAAAACTCAGCACTCTCTCATAAAAATCCTCAACAAACCAAGCAAGGAAGGAACATATCTCAAGATTATAAAAGCCATATATGACAAACCCACAGCCACCATCATACTGAATGGGGAAAAACTGAAAGCATTCCCACTAAAAACTGGAAAAAGGCAAGGATGCCTACTGTCACCACTTCTATTCAACATAGTGCTAGAAGTCCTAGCCAAAGCAATAAGGCAAGAGAAATAAATAAAGGATATTCAAATCAGGAAAGAGGAGGTCAAACTATTGCTTTTTGCTGATGATATGCTGTTATGCCTAAAAAAACCCAAAGACTTCACAAAGAGACTCCTAGAATTGATAAATAAATTCAGTAAAGTCTCAGGTTATAAAATCAATGTACATAAATCAGTGGTATTCCTGTACACCAACAGCAGTCAAGCTGAGAGTCATATCAAAGACTCAATAGCATTCACAGTAACTACAAAGAACATAAAATACCTAGGAATATACTTAACCAAGGAATTGAAAGATCTCTGCAAAGATAACTACAAAACACTGAGGAAAGAAATCACAGATGACACTAATAAATGGGAAAACATATCATGCTCATGGATCAGTAGAATCAACATTGTTAAAATGTCCATAGTAGCCAAAGTGATTTATAGATTCAATGTAATCCCCATCAAAATACCAATGTCATATTTCACAGATCTAGAAAAAAAGAATGCTATGCTTCATTTGGAACCAGAAACAAGCCTGAATAGCCAAAGCAACCTTAAGCAAAAAGAACAAATCTGGAGGTATCACATTGCCAGACTTCAAACTATACTACAAGGCTATTGGCACAAAAATAAAGACATATCAATGGAAAAGAACAGACAATCCTGATATAAAACCATCTGCATACAGCCAACTGATCTTTGACAAAGGAGACAACAATATACACTGGGGAGAAGAAGGCTCATTCAATAAAATGTGCTGGGAAAATTGGATAGCCATGTGCAGAAGAATGAAACACGATCCATCTCTCTCACCACTCATAAAAATTAATTCAAGATGGATAAAAAAATTAAATGTAAGGCATAAAACCATAAGAATTCTACAAGAAAATATTGGAAAAACTCTTTTACATAATGACCTAGGCAAAGAATTTATGAAGAAGACCCCAATGGCAATCATAGCAACAACAAAAATAAATAAATAGGATTTGATTAAACTAAAAAACTTTTGCACAGCCAAGAAAATAATCAACAGAGCAAATAGACAACCTACAGAATGGGAGAAAATGTAAACTATTTATCCAATAAAGGGTTACTAACCAGAATCTACAAAGAACTCAAACAAATCAGCAAGAAAAAAAAATCAATAACCCCATTAAAAAGTGAGCAAAAGACATGAATAGAAACTTTTCAAAAGAATATAGACAAATGGCCAATAAACATACCAAAAAAAAAATGCTTAACATTATAATCATCAGGGAAATGGAAATTAAAACCACAATAAAATATCTCCTTTCCCCCATCAGAATGGGTACAATGAATACTATCTGTGTGATGGGTACACTTATAACCCTGACTCAAGCATAAAAAAATTGACACATGTAACCAAAAACCTGTAATATTTTGAAATAAAAAAGAAATTTTTCTCACCCCTAAAAAAAAAGTCCATCTTATTAATAGTGAAGCATAGGTTCACAGTACAAGTGTCTTTGCACAATTAATCAGTTATTCTGGCCCTTCCTATAATATTCCCCATATACTTAGTAAAACAGGAATATTTGAAATTCACAGTGATTCTTCAATGTTTTTATAAAATATGCATATTTTAATTTATATTATCTCTTTAAAATGCCCGACTTTTAAAGAGCTATGGGTTTTACAAATGTATTTAAAGCAATCATTCCAAAAGCAATCCTATTTTTATGGTGAATGCTAATAATAACAGATAAGGTTTCACGATAACAGATGTTTTAGAAATTAGATGGTTTTAAGGTTTGCAGAAGTGATTTGATGTAGTTTATAATAAGAGGCCTGCAAATAATACAACACTAAATCTATTAATGAAACGTCACTCAGTAGGAACGGAAAAGCAGCAATTATTTCGAATCTGAGACATAGTACATATGCTATGTTTCCAAAAATCCAATAAAAACAGAGGGAAACTAGATGGATTACATAGATTTCAGAGTATTTCCCAGGGGGAGCTAAAGGAAGATGGGGCCGATACCTAACTTCTGGGAGATGCAAATTGTTACAAGAGCATGGGGAAAGATGGAATCTAAAAATAGTGAGCCAGCATAGAATTCTAAACTGGTATTGAGGGTGAATTCCACTTTATACACACTAGAGAAAAAGATATAACAGTATTTAGAAATAATGTAAATTTGGCGTGAATGTGCGAAAGAGAGAGAAAAGGAAAGACATCTGTTACTCTTTCTACTTGTAATGAATGCTGCCGACAGATTGATTCTATTTTACTCTTCCAATCACACCCCCCAAAATTAACCAAATGTTGTGATACTTTGATGGTATCTCGAACTATACATCATACAAGGGAATGGGGTTGTATTATCAGGTTGTAAAAGAACGTAGTCACATTAACAGGAGAAAAGCAATTAGCACTTGGTATCAAGGAGTGAAGTGCTCTGGAAACTGCTTTTGAATGTAAACTATTACATCTGCTAAATTGTTTGATAGATTAAATCCCCATCTTTTGGAAGAGGGCAAAGACTCTGTCTAGGACCTCAAGATACTAATCAAAATATTTAAAGTCTGTACAATGACACTTCTGTTCTTGATTATGCCAACAGTAAAACCAAAATACGGGTACATTTATTATGCATTTTTGAAGGGTACCCCACCCCAGCCTATTTTCCAAGGATTTACATCTGTTTATTCCAATGTCCCCAGTAGAACTTAATGGATTCATTCTCCTGGAGAAAAATAGAAAAAAGGTTATTGAATGAATTGCTGTGGTCCTCCATATATGTTAAGTCAAAAAGAATTTATATGAATGACCTACTCTGCCCCAATTTGAGTGTATTTTGGCTTATCTCTGTGGTCCTGGAATATTTTTGAATGTTTTTCTATGGCATAAAACAAATGTTCTTAGAGTTTTGCCTTTTTGTAGACTTTTCACAGCCGTGACCGATGCCTTTCCCTGGACGCACACAGATTCCTGTGGAGGCGCAGGTCTCGTCACAGGCTCAGCTGTGCTCCTCACCTTTGTACAGGGTCTTGGGGACCTGGCAGGTGTGCCCACACCCATTCGAACAGCATTTCTTCACCCCGGAACACTCATTGTCAACTTCGCAGCTTTCAACACAGGCGGCGGCAAAGCCACTGGCTTTCTCGGGAGCCGGGCAGTCTCCCTGCTTCACCAACAGGATGTACTTGAGGAACTCGCAGCTGGTCAGGCACTCATAGTTCTTCTTGGGGAAGAGCGGCTAAGGGAGAGAAGAATTAAAAAAAAAAAATGTATTTCATTAAAGACACATGCAATCTCATTTCCAAGACATCTGAAAATAAGGTCAATGTTTTTATATCATCAAAATTTCCCTTGAATGTTTTACACAATAGATGTCTTTGGTTTTTTTCCCCTACTGAAGTGACATGTTGTGCTGATTTCCCAAAAGAATATGACTCAGGAGGGATGACTTTTGTATCGCATGCAAAAGACACACGCCATGTGCATGCACACACATTCACATACCGTTATATTCCATCTCAGTTCAAAGGGGGTTGTCAAAACACTGAGTATAAATATTCACAAAACACATGAAGTATGGTTTGAGGAGCCCTTTTGGACTTTATACATTATATACATTTTTGTTTTCTAACAAGTTATTCTTTTTCATTTTTTTCATATACAATAAATGAAATACTAATCAAAATAGTAGTAGCAGTATAAAACTTTATAATTCTCACAATGGTAACACACTCACTGGTATTATTATATCACAAAGTTGTCTAAGCCTGCTAACTGAACATATGTCACTCATCTCTAGCTTTGAGGGTTAATACGGGATTGTCAATGAGTTGCTCGGTAAAAGAATGTGAATCTTCTTTAACAATCAGGGTGCCCCTATGTGACCTGTGCAATAGGTTCTCAATGGCATCTTGCTGAAGACACTTGGGCGGAGCCCAGAATCAATCAGTCATCAGCGAGAAGAGGAAGTCCTTGACTCATTAGCGGGATGCATTACTGACACAGCACAGGTACTGTGAAAGAACCATTTATCAAATACATCTTTTTCGTTGGGAAAAATGGTTCAGGACAGCGCTTGGTCACCCCTAAGACGTGAGCTGTGGCCAGAAGATAATGGCTTTTTCCTGCTACTGAAATGAGGCGCTGCTGAGGCACCTAGAAGCTGCCCCTCCCAGGGAAAGAAGTGGGAATGACACCCTTGGTGCTTTGTCCCTCCTTTGCCCAATGGGAAGAGAATGGCCACGGCAGCCCCAACCAGCCCCAGCCCCCTGCCCAGACCCTGACCACGGCCCTCGAGCTGGGACATAGAAGATGGCTGGAAAGACAGACGGCCACCACTAGTCTGACTTTTACCCTAAACCTCCTTTGACCATTATGGGAGATGGCTTCCATGAAAACTACCCTAACCCTAAATCCATTTCCACCTGGAACACACCTGCCCAGCCAGGTTAAATTTCCCCGCCTTCCTTTTACCTAGGGGTGGCCTTGAGCTGCCCCGTGTGCAAAAGGCAAGCCTGCAAGTGCCTGGACTCTTGGACAGGTGGAGCTCTGTTGGCGACAGCGGTTCAGCTTACTCTAAGCCATGCACAGACCAAAGTCTAAGGGTCCCCGCCAGGAGCCCAGCATCCAGCGAAGGGCTGCCATGCTTTCTCCATGGAGGAGGCAGGAGTTGGACGAGGAGGGCACTCTCTGTTTACTCAATCTCACAACAGAGTTAGGGATATAAAAATAAACGTGGTAGCGCTGCTGAACACGAGCCCGAGCAGATTACGAGCGTGCCTTGGCGGCTCGTGATGCTTTGTAGCGATGACTAACGATGCTCGTTCCTGGTAACACCTGCTAGTCCTCACTGATGGCTGAACGTGGCTCTCCTCCACCTTGGTGACACCTGAGTAACACCTGGTCATACCTGCCGCTGCCCGTTAACGCCTGGGCAACACCTGGAAAACACCTGGTAAGACCTGCGCATGCGTTGAGGGTGCTTCTCAGCAACCTGGATCTACGGCCAGGTAACGCTGCGTCCCGCCAGCGCGCAGCCTGCGGCTCTTGCTCAGGTCGCACCTCGGTAACCTGGCAGGGGACAGCGTCAGTGAAGGATTTGGGCTGTTAGCCAGGGAACGTGTCACACCATGGCAGAAGTATGCCAATTTTTGAAAAATGTACCATTATTAAACTCTCTGGGTAGAAGGTGGGAGGTTGGGGACAGGGGAAATGTCTGGAACTCTTTTCCAAAAAGGCAGTTAGTTTATTAATTTCAGCCTATCATTTCTCATGCCAATAGCTGGAAATGCCACCCAAAACTCTAAACATAACTCCTGCAAGGGAACATCCCAGTAATCCTGGGGTAACTACAACATCAGCATAAATTGTTCTCTGTTGCCTCATCAGTGCTTTCCCCCAAACAATGTTGCATTTAAAATATGTGTTAGAGTCAAGATGGTAAATGTTATGTTTTGTGCATTTTTAAGATCTGTGAAAGAGCTGAAAATTTTATATACCATGAGGATGTGTGCGGCATCAAACAGTAGTGCTGTTTTATAGACACGATAACATTTCAGATGTTGTAAATGTAATGGATGTCAAAGTATCAATACTTTATTACAATTAAATATAATTAAATGCATGTTCTTTTCTTAGGTTAATTAACAAAAGGAAAAAAGTAGAATCACAAGCTAAAAGGAGTATAATTTCAAGGTTTGAATTAGAGTTATAAATGCCATGTAAATTTGCTTGTTAATAATCATATATAAAATTTGAAAATAACATAAATTGACTGAACTAAAATTATTTCTCAATTGAAAAACTTTACAGGTAGAACTTAGAAGAAAGGCCATATGGTCAATATTGAATGACCACAAATTTGCAGTTAGTTCATTTAAAAAGAAACCTTTTTAAATATTTAAGCATCATCAACTCTCGAGGCTTTTCTGTCTTACTCATTTCACAGTTCGGTTTGTCTGTTAACTGGTAGATATGTTTTACTTCATTGGCTTTTGAAGTTCTGAATCTAGGTTCAAACCTAAATTAGTAATAAAAGCAGCATGCTAACAGATCTATAGCAATTATGTAGTGTTTGCCAACTTTCTTCTTTCAATAAAATGTATCCATTACACACATTGGAAAAAATACTCAGTTACCAAAATCATCCGTCCCCACCATGTGGACTGAGATTTCCAAGCAGAAATGATTTTATTAAATCTGGCAAGTGTTTGCTGCTTGCTGACTTGGAAATCACAGTGATATAGTTTTGCACCATGATATAATAAAATCAACTTAGTTCATATTTTTTTCTCATAAGAATCAGAGTATGAGTCAAGAATCAGATAAAGTTTGCGTTCTCTATTCATGTTATTCTAAGCGTCTATGTGCCACCTGCCACACCCATAAACTGCGGGGGCAGGAGAACAGAGACAGCGCCCTAGTCGTCTTCGTTGCTCACTGAGCTAATGAAGCAGACCTGAAAACACATGCACAAAGACAGTGACATAGGACAGACATGAAGCATGTGTTGTTCCCAGAGACCATAACAGGAGAATGCTCATCATCAGCCCAACAATTTAGGTCTTCCAGTTGATGTGAGAGTTGTTCTGTGTGGCTATTCAAATATTTCCCCGTTTGGTAAGGATTCAAAAATGATTTCTGTGATTATTTTGAGGACAATGCAAACGAATCATCTTTGATTCATTTGAGTGCAGAGTTCACCTTTGCACTCGTGGCTTCTAAACTGGTGTGTAATTTTTAAATATGATAGGTGACATTGTGACTATTACATGAGATAACACACATAAAGAACTAAGTTCTATTGTGTGCACTAATAAGAGTTAAGTGATATTTGTGTCTTGTTTCTTTTCCCACTGCTGCAAGTCTACTGTTTAACATTTCAAAATTCTCCTGATAGTCTGACAACATTTTTTATGAGATCCAAAACCAGAAAGTAGGCTCTGCCTTTTTCTACAGTGTGATCAGCCACTAGATTCCAACGTGCCACTCACAGGTCAAGCACCGGACTCTGCTTCTAGGGAACTGCACCCTATAGGAACTCATAAGTGTGTCTGTGACCAAATGAAGTTCATCTTACAACAGCATAGATTTGGTGAAATCATCTTACAGAGGAGCTCTGTTTAACCGTTCTGTTGATGATATTTATCAAAGGCAAACTTTGACAGTCTCTATCAATTTTCTTGTATAATTCTCTTGGATCAGGTTGAAAAATATTAATGGTCTGAATATAAATTAGAGAACATATGGTATGTGTACATAAGGTCTGTATCCATATCTTCAGTCATAGCTTAATGAGAATTTACTAGTGGAACGAAACATGGAGAAAAATGTGTGCAGGTCAGAGAAAATAATGTGTGAACATTAATGGTCTAGATATAAAGAAAATGTGTAAATTGGTCCCCTAATGGTCTGTAGAAATCCTGTGAAAAAAGGTCAGCTGGGTATCAGAAAAGCAATTTATGACCATTAAGCATGTAAAATTTCTTGTGATATTGCAAGTTAATTACTCAGAGACTTGTTAAGAGGAGTGTGAAAATATTAGGAAAGAAATTATTCAAATCAGGGCCATGCCTATAAATTTTATGGCAAGTGAAGACACTTGTGGCAACACAAATATATGTGCTCAATGTTCTATTTCTTGTCTATACAATTAATTCAGGCAATTACGGCAAATCATTAATTGTAAAATTAATGTAACTACAATTCTCATTATAAAACTATTCATATGAATAACTTCACAAATCAAATAAATGTCAATCTTTTGCCATGTCATTGGCTCCAACTTAAAATTTAGAAAAAATATGTTTTTACTATGCACCTTAATTTTTTTTTTTGCCCAATTTTTCTATCCTCACTGTCCCTCAAACTAAGCAGGAGTCTTCAAAGTTTATGCATTTTCCTAGAGTAGCTAGTATCTAAATGCATCCAAAGAAGGGATAGATAAAGCAAAGTGGTAAAAAAAAAATAGCTTAATTCAATCCCAGCATTGGATTGAGTAAAAATTCCTTCATATTTTAAAGAATACATATCTCATATTATATAAATTAAATATGCAATATTAATTAATTCTCATCAATTTCTCTTACATCTCCTAAGAGCTAAAAGCTAGTTTATTAGTGCCTTACCTGGACAATATGCTAAGTGCTATTAAGAAAAAACAAATAAAACATATTACTTTACCTATTTGTGGCACATGGTGAAAAAGAAAATGAAATACTGATTATGATAGGTGACATT